TGACGTTTGTGATGATAATTGTTAATTAGTTGTCAAACTGTAAATAAAAAAGCATCATAACCCTTTTGTTCAACCCTTCGGTTAAAAAGTGAAGCCGTCACTGTTCAGACATCAACAGCATGAATACGACGGAAGAATTAATAAAAGACTTTATTAGACATTTATGCACAATGGATCAGTAACCTGTGTTTATGCATTCAAGTGTAAAAAGTGGATATTAAAAGAAATAACAAGACATAAAGTAACATGGACAGTAATACACACAAGTCCAAAAAAACGTAAAACAAACCAAAACACAACTAGTGATGACTACAGGAGACGTGGATCAGAATGCACCGAATGTTGAAGCTTCACAGACTGTTTTAGTGATTAAGCGTTTTGAACAGAGATGAAACAAACCAGAGTCAGACGTTGAGCCTCAGCGGCTCTTGGTGATGGGGTTCTGGTTGGTGATGGGGTTCTGGTTGGTGATGGGGTTCTGGTTGGTGATGGGGTTCTGGTTGGTGATGGGGTTCTGGTTAGGATTGGGGTTGGGGTTAGGCTTCTGGTTGGGGTTCTGGCAGACAGGGGGACCCCCACAACGAGGTGGGGAGCCCCCCAACCAGCCGGGCCAAAGGCCAGAACCCCCAGCAGCAGACCGCACACAGCCCCCAGTGTGGAGGACCCCCCTAAGGAAACACTGGAATTAAAACTAAAAACTTTAAGAATAAAAGGCCTTATGTAAGATAAAATAAAAGTTAAAAGAGTAAATACATAAAGATAAAATGCAATATAAATAAATGATACGAATATAAAAGAATTAAAGTTCAATTAAAAGCCTGATTTAAAAGGTGCGTCTTTAACCTTCTTTTAAAAGTATTGACAGTCTCTGCAGTCCTGAGGCTCTCCAGCAGGCTGTTCCACAGGTGGGGCCGTAGTGGCTAAATGCCGCCTCACCGTGGGTTCTGGTTCTGGCTACTGGTCTGGATAAAAGGCTGCTGCCGGAGGACCTCAGGATCCGCGAGGGTCGATACGGTAAAAGCAGGTCAGATAAATAGCTGGGTGCAAGGCCTTTAAGACACATAAACCAATAAAAGAACCTTAAAATGGATCCTGAAGCGGACGGGGAGCCAATGCAGCGACCTTAAAACAGGTGTAATGTGATCCCGCCCTCTGGTCCTCGTCAGCACGCGAGCGGCTGAGGTTTGTAATAATTGGAGATTTAAAATACTCTTTTTGGGAAGACCAGAGAGCAGGGCATTACAATAATCTAACCGGCAGGAGATAAAAGCATGCATTAGCACCTCCTGCTGGCCTGAGAGAGAAACGGGCGGACTCTGGATATGTTCTTGAGATGATAAAAATCTATTTTCATTATATTTTTAATATGAGGGATAAAATTCAGCTCGGAGTCAAAAATTACGCCCAGGTTTTTTACAGAAGGTGCTAGTTTAAAACCTTGTAGATTTAATAAAAGTTTCTCTCTCTGGCCGTCAGGACCTACAACCAAAACTTCTGTTTTGTCCTGGTTGAGCTGTAGGAAGTTCGCTGCCATCCATGACTCGATGTCTAAAATGCATTTAAAAGGGTATCAATTGGCCCTGAGTCATCAGGAGACACAGCAACATACAGCTGTGTGTCATCAGCGTAACTATGGAAACTGATGCCGTGTCTCCTGATGACGTCCCCAAGAGGAAGCATGTAAAGATTAAAAAGAATGGGACTCAAAATAGAGCCTTGGGGAACCCCACACCTAAATGTATGGGTCCCTGAGGAACACGTATCCATACTTGGATAAAAGCATCGGTCTGTGAGGTAGGAGCTGAACCAGTTAAAAACAGTACCAGAGAGGCCGACCAGGTGCTTAAGTCTATTTAATAAAATGTGATGGTCTACTGTATCAAAAGCAGCGCTTAGATCCAGTAGAACCAACACTGTAAGTTTTCTGTTATCCAAATTCCACCTGATGTCGTTTAAAATCTTTAAAAGTGCCGACTCGGTACTGTGGTTCATCCTAAAACCAGACTGATGTCTTTCTAAAATGTCTTTTCTGATTAAAAAGTCATTGACTTGGTTAAAAAACAGTTTTTCTAAAATTTTGCTTAAAAAAGGTAAGATATTGGATACGGGTCGGTAGTTATTAAAAACAGTGAGGTCTAAGTTGTTCTTCTTCAGAAGGGGCTTCACCACCACCGTTTTAAAGACGCCCGTCTGAAGAGAGCAATTCATCATGTTTAACATCTGTTCCTCAAAAAATCCATAAAAAGATTTTAAAGTGGCGTGGGGATTGGGTCTACAAGGCAGGTTGTTGGGTTCACTTGGGAGAAAACTCGACCAAGTGTCTTTGCATCAACCAGGGCAAAACTCTCCAGTGTTTCCTCAGACAAGGGCAACAGCTCAGGTGTGTTCACAGGTAAAACTTGTTGGGATAAAAGGCTGGACCTGATGTCCTTGAGTTTAGTTCTGATGTTTTCTGCAAAATTCTCACAAAGAGCGTCTGTTGGCGTGTTAAAAGCTTTATTAAAATTAGTGCTAATTAAGATATCAAAAGTGGAAAACAGGTACCGGGGGTTGTCTTTATGGTCTGAGATGAGTTTTGAGAAATGAGAAGTTCTGGCCTGTTTGATCGCGTTATTGTAGGTTTTGAGTTGTTGACGAAAAATCTCATAATGTACAGTTAGTTTGGATTTCCTCCATCTCCTCTCTGCACTCCTGCAGTTTGTTTTTAATGTAATGATTTTGTCGTTGTTTCTCCACGGGGGTGGAGGCTTTCTTCTTATTCTTCTGGTTAC